ATGTCTGAACTCCATCCTTCATTGGCGACGTTTGCCGCCGGAAAGAAAACAGCAAGTCAAAATATATTCTTGTTTTACTAATATTTACAAAAATTAACTAAAGGCAAAGTCTGTCTGAGAGTATTAAGTTACGCCGATTTTTGAAGTCAAAAATACTTTGGATTGTGGCTCAGCATTCAACTTCCGGTTTCCCCTTGTCATAAGCAACAATTTACTAAAGAAACTAGTAAGAAACACGTAACAACCTTAACCATTGCAGGATTTTTTTTCAGTTATATTCGTGTGTATTTAATTTTGTACGGATTTACGTTAATTTATTTTATTTTCATTGTCTATTTACTGACAGAAACAGTTGCAGTTTGAAGTACATGGAGTAACCATGATAAAATAAATGCAAGGATTTGAATCTGCGCACTCCTACAAATGTCCGTACATAAACATGCTTAAACTTCTAGAATAGCGTATATATATATATATATATATATATATATATATATATATATATGTCGAGAGAGAGAGAAAGAGAAAGAGAATTAATTTGGAGAAGTTTATCATTTACCTGAGTGATGTTGGTTCAGTCATGCCTACTACGTAGTTTCATGAGCGCATCAAGATAACATGTTCACTCTTCGGGGTTGTTGTCTTCAAAGAAACAAGCCCTGAAGAGTAAACATGCTATCTTGATGCGCTCATGAAACTAACCAAGACCACAGAGCTAAATCATAAACTTCCCCAAATTAATTCTCTTAGTGCTCTATCCTAATTTTGATATCGAGCAATTTAGGACAAAAAAACTGCCTGCCCAAAAGTCCTTTCCACCTAGAATAAAACAGCAATTCTAGTAATTAATACTAATATATATACATATATATATATATATATATATATATATATATATATATATATATATATATATATATATCAAAAAGCATATCTTCATTCATACATGAATGAATGAATAATCTAGAAATATTATATCTATTTATTTTTATTTTAATCCTTTAAAATTCACGGATCAATTTCTTAATGTTATTATTAAACATATTAAAGAAGGCGCTGTAGTTTTTGTTATTTCCTTTATTTTCCCAAGTAGTTTCAATTTAATCCAAGATCATCCTCAGGGCTAAATTTCTAAAACAAAATATTCATGTAACTGATAGCTGGGATTATTTTTTATTTATTTATTTTTTTTTTGTAAATGATTATGAACCCGCTCCGTTGCAGTCAATTTAATTATAAAATCTTAGCAATAATATGTAAGGGAAGTAACTTAATTTATCTTGTTTTATTATTTATATTTTAAAATACTCAACCTGCAATTTGAAAAAAAGAAAAACAATTTTGTTTTTACACTTTCATTATCATAGAACATTGCTTTTATAGACATTTTAAAACATTGTTACTCATAATTAATCTTATTTAGTGTTGGTTGTATTTTTTTATATAGAGTGCTTCAAAATTTGCTTTATTTTCATGGTGGAGTATACTTGCATTGTCAGTTGTTAATTTTTCTAAAACGTAAAAGACGACAGGAATGTTCATTTAAATGTTGTGCAATAGAACTTGAATCCGACAAATGTAATGTTAGCCTCCTTGATAATTTTGTTGTTGTGAAAACTAATATATATATATATATATATATATATATATATATATATATATATATATATGTGTGTGTGTGTTAAAATCAAATGCAGATCAAATATGAACCCATATCCGACAGAAAAAATAAGATAGAGGGCATATAGGAGACGTATATCAATCTAATATCATTTTTATTATAGCCTCTTCAGTGATTGTAAGAAAACAGACAAAAAGGCACAAGATTATTATTTTTCAATTTCTTTGATGGCGATGTGTATACGTAATTGTGTCTAGACAGACACACATACACAAATTCGAATAAGCCTCACCATCCGATGCCCGCTTAGACATGCAAGAATCTTTGCAAACTTACATACATATAGAATGAATATACGGTTTAATTCACGTGATACGTGACTGACCAATCGGTATTGACTCAAACAAACTTTTAAAAATACAAAAGTTCTCTCTTTTGTCTGTTTTCTCTCAAACTCTGACTAAGCTTTAATAAAAGTGAAACGTTATATTGATATATATTTCCTGTATGTTCTTTCGACTTCTTGCTTTCCAGTAATTTTTTATCTTCAAAAATTTATATGCAATTTTAATATTGTTCGCTCTCCATAATAGTTTTGTTTCCTCATAATCTCACACACTGGCAAACACTTTGCGTCGAAGTGGCTTTACTGCGTTGCTCGCGCTGAAATTATATATATATATATATATATATATAAATATATATATATATATAGAGCGTGATAGATAGATAGATAGATAGATAGATAGATAGATATAAAATATTTGGTTTCTTCTGCAGGTGGAGAGAGAACGTTGTGTTCCGTTCGCAAGCAAACGCTTATGGGGAGAAAGCCAAAGTACATCTTTGCAAGTTTTTTCAATTAAATTCTGAAATCCACGATAAACGACACACCCGAGAATATAAGAGATGATAAACTAATTCTAGACTCAATTTCCTATTATTCAAACTTGGTTCTGAGTTGGTTGGTTGACTCATAATTCATAGCAGTGAAAAGCGTAATTACTTCATATATATATATATATATATATATATATGTGTGTGTGTGTGTGTGTGTGTGTGTGTGTGTGTGTGTGTGTGTGTGTGTGTGTATCGTAAAAAAAACATTTAATTTACGCATATTTTTTCGCAAAAATAAAAATAAACTTTAGGGAGTGCATAAATTACATGAATAGATCGTCACAAGTTTTTTTTTTTTTTTTCTTGTTGAAAATAGACGTACAAAACGTGAACATTCATACCGGAAGTTGACCTATTTAATGTCAGAATAAGTTTATACAGAACAAATAAGCCCTTAAATGTAATGAAGTTGAATTTTATTTATGCTAGACCGTATAATACTTACTTTTTCTGTATAAAATTTACTAAAACCATTAAATGGTTATCTGCTACTCACCATCCGGGCCCTGTTTTACATTGTTTGGAGTTTTTACTTGTCGCGGTGGAGCACCATTGACATACATAGTGATATGAAGACGTACAAAAGAATTACTCAATTTTCATATTTGATTCTTTTATATATATATATATATATATATATATATATATATATATATATATATATATATATATATATGTGTGTGTGTGTGTGTGTGTGTGTGTGTGATAAGGTGGAGAACATACAGGAAATATATATCAATATAACGTTTCACTTTTATTAAAACTTCGTCAGAGTTTGAGAGAAAACAAAAAAAAAGACTGAACTTTGGTATTTTTAAATTTGTCTGAGCCACTTCTGATTGGTCAGTCACGTATCCCATGAATTAAACCGTAGATAATTCTATATGTATGTAAGTTTGCAAAAATTCCTGTATGTCAAAGCGGGCATCGGATGGTGATGTTTATTCAAATTTGTGTATGTGTGTCTGTCTAGACACAATTACGTATACACATCGCCATCAAACAAATTGAAAAATAACAAACTTCTCTCTTTTTGTCTGTTTTCTTTCAATCACTAAAGGAGCTGTAATAAATGAATATTCCTGACTGGAAAAAGATGTAATGATATGGATAATCTTGACTATATGGTTTTATTATTGTCTGTTTTTCTTGTTTTGTTTCGATATAAGCAAACTTGTTGAGGAACGATGAAAAAAATGATAGAAATCGTAAACATGTCGATAATCACGATCATGACTTTGACATGTGAGAACTATGCGGTTTATATAATTTAATATCTTTTAATGTGATACCTGTTAAACAGAAATTGTTTTTATTTAATGAAAATTGAATAAAATCTAATTGCAAGTAATGAAAATTATGCTCAATACAATTAAATTGAAAATCTCTTCCCATTAGCCTTATGCCCTTTCTTAATCATGTTCTTAATCAATGTTGGTAAAAAAACTAATGCCCGTTCTTCTCTAATTACGATGTTTCTAGTAGAAACTTACAACCAATCTCAATTCACACAATAGTCTGTGGATTCCATATCTAGTTATCAACATAGTTTCCATTTAATAATTGAAACCCACAAAGCATACATTTTCTTTGTCCACGTTGATGTGCTAGAGGACAATTACGAAATCTGACTACCAACGCCAAATGTATAATATCGAATTCAGGCAATAATATATATATATATATATATATATATATATATATATATATATATATATATATATATATATTGTTAAATATAACAGACAATGTCTGTTATGTCTGATCATGAGCCGTTCTAAAATTCGTATATTTGCTTTAAGTAAGTGAAATGATGCTGATTACAATTAAATTGAAAACCTCTCGTCCCTGGCCATATCGACAATTCTGAAAATTTGGTGGATGCGAAATTTAAATGGGTAGAAGCTTTATTTTAACAAATTTTATCCTGAAAATCCCCTACATAAATTACGCAGATGTGCAAATTGCATGGACTTTAATATATATATATATATATATATATATATATATATATATATATATATATATATATAGAGAGAGAGAAAGAGAGAGAGAGAGAGAGAGATGGGTATGATAAAACATACGTGTATATATATATATATATATATATATATATATATATATATATATATATATATTGAGAGAGAGGAAGAGACTGAGATATGATAATACATACGTATACGCACACATACTTGTACATATATATATATATATATATATATATATATATATATATATATATCTTAGGTGATATAAAATAGTGCTCAATGTGTTAAAACAGAGCTATTAAGTATATATTAGTGAATATACATAATATCCTACGTCGATGGCATGACTCGGCTTTTCATGCAAACCTGCAATATTCAGGTGCAAACCTGCAATATTCAGGTGCAAAATACACACTGGCCTTTATAGCGTTATGAAATTCGCGTTCACGTGGCGTTAATTATTATAACATTATTTCCTGCTGCACACACACATGTCTCCCCCATCTCTCTTCCTCTATCTCTACCTCTCTTTCTCTCCCCTCTCTCTCTCTCTGTATATCTGACAATCGAACCCGGACTTTTTCGATACAACGCTATATCGAGTCTATTCAGATATTTTTTGTCTCCGAGGTCCGTCGGTACACTTGGTATGAGACTTGTGTTGTATCGAAACGGTCCGGTTTCGATTGTCGCTAGTGGATGCGCACTGCTGTTGAGTCCCAAATAGGACGAAATGGCCGTCCGGTGCATTCTTCATTCTGTTGAGGATTCTTCTAGACTTGATGAATTACTATATTGATTATTCTAATTCCTCAAAATTCTATCACACACACATATATATATATATATATATATATATATATATATATATATATGTGTGTGTGTGTGTGTGTGTGTGTTTAGTGTGTGTGCAACGGAGTACATTCTTTTCGTTGATGGCTCGCTCAGTCACTGACTCTCTCTCTGTTTCTCTCTTTTCTGAATATGCTCTCTTTTTCATTCCCTCTCGCTCAGTCACTTCATCTTTTATCTTTCTCTCTTTTCTGTTTTTTTCATTTCCGTCGTTTTAACCTTCTTTTTCTCACACTCTCATTTGTTCTTCATCATTTCTTTATCGCTCTCTTTGTTTTCTTTCCTTTCTTTTTTTCATTTCCTCTTCTTTTTTTTTTTTCATTTCTCTCGTTTTAACTCTCTCTTTTTCTCACAATTCTCATTTGTTCTTTTCCATTTCTTTTATATTTCTCGTCTCTTTTATTTTTCTTTCTTTTTTTTTTTCATTTCTCTTTGTTTCTTTTGCTTACCTTCTTTCTCTCTCTCTTTCTCCCGCCATTTCCATCTCTCTCTTGATTTACTTTTCTTATAAGTTACCTCCTTCTTTCTTTTCTTTACTCTCACTTTCACGTTTCTTTTTTTTAACAATTACTCTCAGTATATAATATATCCCACGCTCCCACTCTCTCTCTCTCTCTCTCTCTCTCTCTCTCTCTCTCTCTCTCATTGAATCTTTTTCAGGATTTCTTTATTTCTTTTCTATTTCTTTCTCTGTTTGAACATTCCTTTCTCTCTTTTGATTTTATTCCTTTTCTTTCTTTCTTTCTTTCTTTCTTCCGACCCTCTCTCTCTCTCTCTCTCTCTCTCTCTCTCTCTCTCCCTGTATCTCTCATCGACTCTTATTCATGATTTATCATATCTTTTCATTACTCTTTCTTTTCTTTCTTTCTTTCTCTTTGCACTCTCTTTTTCTTTTACTCTCTCTTCTCTTTCTTTCTCTAACGACTTTACTCTTATCTCTCTCTCTCTCTCTCTCTTTGTCTATTTTTCAGGATTTGTTTAAATTTTTATTTCTTTTCTCTTTCTTTCTATCTGTGAACATTTTTCTCTCGTTTTATTTTATTCCTTCTTTCTTTCTTTCTTTCTTTCTTTCTTCCTTTCTTTCTTCCACCCGTCTCTCTCCCCGTATCTATCATCGACTCTTATTCATGATTTAACATATCTTTTCTTTACTCTCTCTTTTCTTTATTTCTATTTACACTCTTTTTCTTTTACTCTCTCTCTCTTTTTTTTTTCGTTCTCTAACGATTTCAAACACTCTCCCCTCCCTCTCTCTCTCTCTCTCTCTCTCTCCCTCTTTGTCTATTTTTCACGATTTGTTTAAATCTTTATTTCTCTTCTATCTTCCTGCTTTTCTAATATTTTCTCTCTGTGAAAATTTCCTTCTCTCTTTTTATTTTATTCTTTCTTTCTTTCTCACCCTTCTCAATCTTTCCTTGTATCTATCATCGACTCTTTTTCAAGATTTATTATATCTTTTATATCTTCTCCCTTTTCCATTTCTATCTTTTTACTCCAACCATTCTTGTCTCCCCTCAGTGTCACTATGTCGTTTTTTTTTTCTTTCTTTGTTCAATTCTCTTCAACCTTTTTGTTTTCATCCTCCAAGATTTTCTGTGAAGTTTATAGAATGCCATCACACCAAAAATTCTACAGAAAGAAAGTCGGTGCCGCATCAGCAGATCTTTGGAGTGGAGAAAAAACATTGTTTAAAAAAAAATGTGAAGAAAAGAAAAAAGAAAAAATTTTTTTAAATACATCAAAGACAAATTTACGACGACATTTTTTATTTTTTTCTATCTTTCTTCTTTTTATCCGTTTACTCTTTTAACTTGATTTAAAAAGAGAGAATTTTTTTTTTGAATCTGTGTTACAGCCGCTTTTTATTATGATTTTCTTCAATGCGATTTTTTTCGCTTTTCTTATCTCTATCCACTTAGCTTTTGTCCAAATTTAATATCAGGACAAAAGAAATGGAATCACTAATTTCATTCCAGAGTTATAAAAGAGATCTTTCTAAGATTGGAAGACTGACAATGAATGGCCGACCCGAGAACGCGCCATTTTCTATCAGCGACATAGTTTTACTTATTTATTTTTTACGTCTGTTTTCTTCAATTTTTTCCTTTTTTTTTTTTTTTGAAAAAAAAAATCTGAATTTATTTTTTTGTTTTATATTCTAAGGATTAAAGAAAATTTAATGTCCCTAATTAAGTCGTCTTCTTTTATAAACAAAATCCCTTCATAGCGTGGAAGATCATGTATCTCCACAACGTCCTAGCACTTGTAGCTATTAGTAACATTTATCTTTTCTCCCCTTCCAAACCGTGTTCTTAGAACCATTAATATAAGCTCGTTAGTTATTTCACCTGCTTTTTTGACACTGTCTTTCCTGCCCTCAGCATGTTCTCTAAATATTTTTTTTCTCATTATGCCCCAGAAATTTCAGTTCTCTCTTTCTGATTCTAAGTACAATGGAACATGTCGAAAAAAATCGGTTTTCGAACAGAAAATTTGAGATGAAAATGCCTCGGTTATCGAACAAAATTTCGGTTCTCGAACAGCATTTCCGAACCGAATTAACCCGAACTGAATCATTTCTGAGTCAACCGCCATGTTGTATACATTCATGTATTGTGCTGTTCTTTTCTTTTCAAATTTTATTGTACTAAACGTTTTTCTCTACATTGATTCCTGTTGGAAAAATAGTTTCAGGTTTACAAACATTTCGTGTTACGAAAGGCCTTCAGGAACTAATTAAATTCGTAAAATTAGGCTCCACTATATATATATATATATATATATATATATATATATATATATATATATATATAACACAAAGATGAGCCCAAAGTTCATATTTTAAATCGGAGATATGAAAATCAAACAAATAAAAAAAAAAATTTGATGTCTTGGGAAGAGGACGGATAGCCAAAGATGTAGGAGAACAACTTTTAAAATCAAACGTCTCCTATGTCGAACAAATCGGTTTTCGAACAGAAAAATTCCAGATGAAAATGCCTCGCTTATCGAACAAAATTTCGGTTCTCGAACATTGCCGAACCGAGCCGGACCGAGTTAACCCGAACGGAATCATTTCTGAGTTGAACGCCATGTTGTATACATTTGTGTGTTGTACCATGCTTTTTTTTTTCAATTTTGTCGTACTGTGACGTCATACCAACTGTAAAAACAGGCCTCAGTGACGAAGAGGTAGCGAACTAGACTCGATATAGCGTCGCTCGATCACATATTCCGTGGTTGAACTCATCCGAGTTTCTCCTTACGCCCTCTTGTGCCCCCATGAGCCTCGACTACTATCACGAAGCTTACTATCACAAAGTTTGTACATTTTGCCTGATTACGTAACTGTCCGGGTTCCAATTCTCGGTAGTGAATGCGCACTGCTGATGAGTCCCAAATATAGGACGAAACGGCTTTCTGCATTCTATTGAGGTTTCTTCTAAACTCGTTGAATTACTTAATTATAATTATCTCAAATCCTCCTAATAACTTCTATCTATTGCTTGGACCGGATTTAAATGCTCTGGATGGAGCAGCTTGGGGATAGTAGTCGTGGCTCGTGAGGGTACAGTCCTATGAGTTAGGAGAATATGTGATCGAGCGGCGCTATATCGAGTCTAATTCGCTACCTCTTCGTCAGCGAGGCTCGTTTGACCAGTTGGTATAAAAAATAACATTTCGACCTCGCCAGCCCAGATTTAAATCTCACGAAGAAAATTTAATCTCGCACTAAATACAAGTTTACCAGGAAGTGTCTTTAAACTTCTCATCAGTTGTTTGATACCATTAACAATAAATCAAAAACATTGTGTCTTCTTCTCAATTTTGTAGCAGTTAAAAAAAATAAAAATATTTATTTAAAAAAGGGCAAATTAAAATTAAAAAAACTAAAAGTAAATCTGTCATATACGAAGAAATGAGTAACTGCCGACACCAAGGTTCGAGCGTGATACTCTGGAATTATGAATATATGTTTTCCACCAAAAGCTATAAATAGTGGTTATTTCAGGCTACTGACTGGGAATTATTGAGTGGAACTATTCAGTCGAATTAAAACAAATTATTGTGCGTCAATGATTTTGTGACGAAAGACATGACTTTCCTCGGAGTTCAAAACAGAAATTTTAAGTGTCTTGCCAGCAAAGTAATGACGAAACATGGCCGCTAATTGATGACGCAATTTATGCGCCCTATCTCGTCCAAAACGAGATGATATTTGCACATTTTTCTGTTTTGGCCGTATCAGAAGGCATAAAAACGGGGTGTCAAAATTTATGCTAGACTCAGGTCATCAGTCATTCGGCGGACTGCGTTTATAAGCTGGACGTATTTGACAGATGGACAAAAGATAAAGTCGAAATAGGCGCGGCTGAGTTGGTGCCTTTTTTCGACTGCCCGGTGTAACAGCCGAGACACGGAGTCACGCAATCCATTTCCTTGAGGCGACCGACGACGAAGAAGAATAAAACATCTGCCGGCGAACGGCGGACTGCACTTTCTGACCCCCATCACTTTTTTTTTCTTTTTTGTTTACTACAGATTTGGGTTTTGATTTAGGATTTACCGGACGTTAATCCATACCGCGTTACTAACAAGGTATTCTCTGAAATGGTTATCTTTGGTCGACTTTTACTTCTTTGTTCTTGTTAAGTATTTATTTGCGGTTGTAATTAAATGCTCTTTTATTTTAACATTTAAGACTTGAGTTATACTTAATCATTAACAGCCACCGTACGACACACAAAAATCTTTTCATGAACAAAAGAAAAGGAATGGTCTTAATCATCTGACCCAGAATTCCAAAATGAAACTGACTTCTGCTGAATCTTCTTTTGAGGCTGAAAATGATAGCATTGATAGCAAGAAGACGGTCTGGAGGAAAATACGAACAATAAGAAGCCTACTTTTCATAATTAGAAATAAAAGGTAGTTGATATTCCTGGGACATATAATGAAAATACAACCGTGTTGAATTTAACACTCTCAGGAGATACTGAAAAGAAGAGAAACCAAGAGTTACTTATTTGATGAGTTTTTATGAATGGAAAACAAAGACAAAGGAAGGTGATAAAGTGTCAAACGTAACTTAGAGCAACAAAAGAGAGGAAGTTTTGGAGAGCCATCTGTGGCACCATGCATCCTGACGATTTGGAAGAAATATTTATAGATATATGATTTGCTTTTTTACGGTTTATCAACCATTTGATAATTATTTAAGGCCGAAAAATATTTTTAGGTTTTAAGAATAATTCTTTCTTTGCATTCAAGCGATTTGGGAGAAAGAAAGAGAAAACGAAGAAGAAGAAAGAAAAAAAAGTAATACGAGACGGGTCATAGGCGAACACACACACACGGGCTTAAGAGACGGAAATGAATATTTCAAAAAAATGGTTTATAGTTGATAGGTATCAGATGTCGAAAATATCTAGGTCACCTACGAACAAGCGTTGACCGATTTCCGCTTGTCCACGAAAAATGGAATTTTGTTATCAATGGATGTCACCAAAAAAGAAAAATCCATTGTTGAACATTGACGAAACACAGACAGTCTTCACTGGGTATGGAGAATTAAAAATTAATACCACACAAGACAGTTTTCACTGGCTAAGTTTTTTTTTGACAGAATAGACTTTTTTTTTTGCGATAATAAAATTTTTTTTATCAACACATGGGCCGAAGGAAAATGAAATATTTTTATTTCGCTTTGAAGACGCCAAGTTGGCTGAGATCGTGGAGAAATTCTTTCTTAGGCCATGTCCAATTAGCGATAAACTGCTTGACAAACGCCACGTGTTAAAACCGAAGGTTGTCACCTCGGCCGCTCATGATAAGGGCGATTTAATTAATTTTTTTTTTTTTTTTTTTTAAGCAAGGTATTTCTTTTTCCAAAACAAAGCCACGGGTTGTTCACGCCCGACTAAGACGTCATTGGCCAAATGGATCAACGCACGAAGGAGGAGGATCACATGACGCACGAAGGAGGAGGAGGAAAGATACCCGACCAGGACCTCATTGGCCGAGAGCGGTCACGTGACGCACGAAGAAAATCAGTCGACGCCTCTATCCAGAGTGTAAGTGTGAGAAGCCGATACGAAGAAGTGGGGAAGGCAGTATACGCCCCTCAGAAGCACAC